CAGGGCTGCACTAAGGTTTGAGGCAGCACAAAGAACTAATGCTTCTAAAGGTATGATGACTCCTGAAAGCTATAGGATGCCATAATCAGAAATTTAACTTTATTGTAGTTGTCAGAATATGAAAACAGCAAATGTTTCAATATATATTCATAATATAGATCATTAAGTAATCATAATCATAAAGAAATTATAGCAAGTTTTTTATGTCCTTTATATATGACTTTAGCATTTATAAAATATTTTCTAAAATTCCATAAAGTCCGTTTTTTGTATAAAATAGATAATATAAGATCATTAAAATTTAATAGGATAAGTTATCCAATGATCTTTAACATTTTTTGGTTGGAAACTCAACGATATTCAATGAAAGATATTGAGCCATATCCTTATCAACAAATAGTAGATACAAATATATAAAGAATTTAGAGTTTGACTGCTCTTCTTAAGGGAAAACAATGATTACTGGATTAAATCTCACAATTTTTAAAAACATATTTTTAGTTATTTCAGAGAGTAGGGGAGAGGGAGAGAGATAGAAACATCAATGATGAGAGAATCATTGATCAGCTGCCTCCTTCACATCCCCTACTGAGGACTGAGCCCACAACCTGGGTATGTGACCTATCCAGGAATCAAGTTTGACCTTGTGGATCATTGGTCCATGATCAACCACTGAGCCACACAGGCCCAGCAAACCTCACAACATTCTATCTTGAAAACTTAAATCTTTTGGTTGAAAAGTCATAATGTAAGTATTAGAAAACTTTAATCATGATCTTGGATTGAAGTAAAGTTGAGTACCTATGACAAGAAAAGTCTGATTAAAATGGTAGAGGGATTGGATTAGGAATGAGACAAACCTCTGTCTAACCAAGTGGAAACATATTATGTAAAATGTGGGATTTTTTTATTTTTAATTATTCATCCAACTATGTCAAAACCAATTATTTCTATAAAATGAACAGTCAAAGAATGCTAATATTTTCTAAGGTACTTATCTGATTTGACCTCAATCATGTGAGAAAGGATTCACCACTGCTAATGCATAAGCATCAGAACAAAATGATATGTCAATGTATTTTATACACAGTTGCTTTAAATAAGACTGATGGTCTAAAGGCTGCTCACAGAGAATGGCATTTAATATTTTAGCTTTCAATTCATATAGTCAAGTAAATCTTTTCAAAATCATGCTTTGTATTCAAACTGCTCCCCAGATACTTCCTAAAAACTATTAGATATATGGACTCTCCACTCCAGAGAAAAGCAAACAAACAACTAGGCACCGTGTGTAGGTGACAGGACAATATAAACTATAGTTTTCAAAAACCAGAAGGTGGAATATTATCAGAAGATGGTAAGATGATCACCATTTTTTAAAAAAACATTGTGTTGAGGAGCCTAAACTAAGACAACAAAATATTTGCTGAATGTTTTCTTTTAATTGGAACAAAATTCTAAATAACTTCTTAGAGCAAAGAAAATGTAATTTTTAAAATACCAGCATTACAAAAATCCTATAGAGTTATATTAAAACGTTATTTTCTTAATCAAATC